ATATTGTATATTGTTCATATACTTCGTATATCATATAAAAATACACTAAAGTGTTTTCTGAATTAATAAATTCCCTGCTAACATATCAACTACTGGTGCAGAAGATCTATTTACTTCCACCATAGCTTTGAACAAGACCATACAGCCCAAAATTGACGACTCGACCATTTCCCATTTACTCTCACAAAATCTTCTACTTTTTCAGCAACTATAGCATGTACTCATATGAAATATACTTCGTATAATGTCATTTAAGTAATCTCTAGTCTCAATCTATAGTATTATTAAATCTCAAAAGGATACAAGTCTATAAAATCTTATGTAAAACCTAAATAATTAACTTACCATCTAAGCTCTATTATTAGTTTATTACTATGTCTCATTAATTAACAATAACTACCTTACTATTTAGCTATAATTAAGTTATACTTCGTATGTATTAATACTTCGTCACTATTTTCCTTACATGTATTACATGTAATTTTTTATCGTTTTATTTTTTAACCAACTTGAATTCTTGATTTTGTTGTTATATTGTTATAGTATCAAACTAATATATTTTCAACCCATTTAAAATTAAATATTACTTACTAACGGTTGTAATGTTAAATTATAATCACTTAGGACATCGTCCGAGCAAAAAGCTAATTCTTTATCTATTTTGGAACAGTAACAATTACACCTTTTATTCAAAATCAGCATTAAAAGCAAACTATTATAGTTATTAGTGTAATTGAAATGTTTTCTTTGTCATGATTTTGCTGGCTTTAATATATACTACTTACATTGAAAAGACGCTATATCATAGTGATTACGATTGTTGGGGATAAAAATGAAATACTGGTATACGAGTTCAGCTAAATTTAGCAGTATTGTGATTTTCAATTCTTTATGTATAGAATAAGTCTAGTTGATTGATTATAAGTTTATAACCATCAGTAACTAAAATAATGTAAACTTTTGAACAGTAATATGCCCAAAATTAATCAGATTCTAACTATCATCCTGTATAAGATTCACATCTTTACCAATTAGTCTAACCATTCATCACTACACCTGAATCATTATGTCAAAAGTTCTAGCAAACTCAAACTTGGTTAAAAGACAGTCAATTGGCAGCTTTGGCACATAAAAAATGGAACAAATAACTAATTCAAATCATGATGCCATGAATAATGATCCTAGGTAAAACTGGACAATTATGGACTGCCATAGATCACAAGCCACTACTCATTCAAATATGGACGGCCTGATTATGTGTGACAATTCGGGGTGAAGGCGAAAAGTATTAAGCTCGTAATCGAAAAGGCTACGAGCCATGAAGGGGCAAGAGAGAAAAAAGGTAATCTTTTTTAGTTGATTAAGCCCACAGAGATGACAATGATAGAAAGGAAAATATGAGAAAGAGGTCCCCTAATAGCTTTTTTTATTTTCTTTCTTAAGGATCATTATGTGGCTATTTACAACTTGGAGAAAGAGAGGGGGGAGAGAAGAGAGAGACTTACTAACAATAAAAGGAAGGAGGGAGATTGACACTAGAATTTGCAGGGCCCAGGAGCTTGATAATGGAAGTACCCTTCATCCTCACTGGACTTGCTCCCCACCATATATCCATTTTATCTTCATCATGCCTCTACAAAAGCACAAATACCGTATTTGAGCTTAAGTTAAGACATCATTTGAACAAAGCGGGCCTAATTAAACACCTTATATTATATACTAGTACTTGATTTTTTATTTTTATTTTTTTAAAAAGTTTGAGGATTTAAAAGAAATACACCTTACCTAAATACTAATTAAAAAATGAAACGAGCACACGAGAAATCAGCCAGGACGAGTGAGAAAAAGAGAGTACTAATAAATGTTGAAATCATGGCATATTGCAATTAATCATAATATAATTCTATTACAATTACAACTCTTAATCCCAATAAAGAAAATCACTCTAGTATGCTTACTGCACCCCAAATCCCCAATCTAAACCGAGTTTGTGCAGGTCAAAGACAAAGTAGAGATCAAGTCTATAAATGGGCAACTTGTTTAAAGCTAATGAACCAAGGAGGAGAAAGCACTCAAGGCCACCAATCAATAGATGTTTGGGTGCTAATTGCCATCAATCAATTTATAATAAAGGAAGACACAACCTTAATTTTATGCTAATTAGAGTAGATTTTTTTTTTTCTTTGAGGTTTCAGCTTGAAGTGAACTTGTCACCTCAGCAAAATAGAATGGGAAAACTTATGTTACTCTATCAATCACTATCTAGTAAGCCCACAATTGGAGACATAATTAGATTGACAAAATCTGCTATATAGGTACATGAAACAGACATCTTATCCTTCAATAAAAACGGAAAAGCGAAAATTCCTCTTCATTAATTCCAAAGTGTTAAGTACTAATCAATCCTCAATCCTAGAAGAAGAGTCAGAATCAGATTAATAATTTTGCTTTAAGCTGTTCTGATAGGAGATCTAATATTAGTATATAAATTAGTCCAAGTTTATATCCCTTTTTCACCTCATATCATTAGTGAGGACGCAAGTGGTAAATATCAAAAATCAAATTTAATTAGACATAAGAAACCATATGATCCAATCCACTAACCAACCAAATAAGTCTTAATTTTCAAACAAAAACCAATTGACTGACAGGATGAAAGCTATTTGAAAAACACACATTCTTTATCCTAATTAATGATTGACAACTTGGCATTATGATTGGATAATGATTATGGTCTCCTAATTCCTATTATGAGGGCAATTAGATTTCTACACTCGAAAACTAGATGGACATTATGCTCCAAGTTACATGGAAGCTAATAAAGTTAGACAAAGATTGCTTAGACGAGCAAAGTAAACATTAATCTCAATTAAATGAGATGCAATATGAGATGCCTCATTGTAATCCTCATCCCAAAATACCTCCACTCCTCCGGAATCTACAGGCAAAGGTAGCTCAAAAAATACCAGACCTCTCACAGCCTTGTTTCACCTCATCATCTTACACATCATAAAGCTGACATGTCATAGATGGGGGCTCCTAAAACCTGCCACGTGTACCAAATCATGTGGGCATAAACGTATTCAAGGCCCACACTACCCTGCAGCCATCACGGTGGGGTCACTATCTACCCAAAAAACCAAGTCCTTAAATGACCAAAATCTGAGATAAACTCATTAAATAACATATGCAATTAAGTCGCAAATCATTATAATAAGCTAAGAACTAATCATATGAATATCTGAAGTTCTGATTTCTGAACCCCGTCCAAATAAAAACTGTCTCAAACCCCGTTTTGCCGTTGGCAGGACAAGCCCGCGTGGCAGTCATATGTCAGGAAGGTCCCACGGCCCACAGCCTCTAGTTATGGTTACATTCGATGGCTCTCTGCCCCAGTTGCCCCTTTCTATCTCTCTCATCGATCCATTTCATTTCTCTACTTGCCCCCTCAGGACCCCCAAAAACACCATAAATATATTAACAAATTTTTAGGTGTTCCTGGATATATCTAAGGACTTGTTCTCAATTCAGTGAGCTCAATTCCTAATTTCTTTTCTCATAAACAATTCATCTCAGCTCAGCAAATCACAACAGGCCGTAAAGTAAACCCAAATGACCAAATTAATACTTCCTCTATTATTATTTAGTCGACATTTTTCTCTTTTCACGTTTATCAACGCACTATTTTAATGATTAATATCTGTAATTTCCGACATTATAAAATTATAAAAAGTGGATATAAATAAAATATACATTGAGATGATTCAAATAAGATCTCACTTGACTATGTTTTATCCAGTTATAAATTACAAAAGGTTTTCAAAATATAGTTTGTAAATAGTGTAAAAGTCAAATAGTGTCAACTAAAAATACGGAGATAGTAGTATTATAGACTTTGATGTACCCCTCCCTAACTTTATGTGTATCTGAAAATATAAAATGAATATACTCAAATATAAATGATGGAAAAAGAAAATATAAAATGAATATGAAATTATATTTTTCTCTCTCTTAATTATTCCGGTTAGTTACGTCAGATACCAGCCTCCTAATAGTCAGATATCTCAACCCAAACTCCTTTTTTACACTTTTTATAAATACCCTCACTTCTTCCCCAATTCTTCTCTCACTATATTTTTCCAGCCACAGCTTAAACTGCATCAAATAAAGGGGAGATAGAAAGAGTCGTAGAGTAGTAGTACCTTGCTCATGAAGAACTTGTGTTAGGTACCAAAGCATTACAAAAGCCTGCCTAATCCTTGCAGCACACACCAACTTCCCTTTCCCCACACCTTCATAAAAGCAAAAGAGCAACAAACTGTTATAGTAGTACATATTAAGACTTCGTAACAGCACAAAAGCAATCATCTTTCCCTTACTATTTTTGGATTTGTTAAGGCAATGAATAGAGCTTTACCGGAGATGCTACACTGCCTGAACACACCAGCGAACATCATCGGAGGAAAAGGCATGGAGATGAGTGTTTTGGAAAGACAGAGAATGGTTCTTAAGTGGCAACAAGAGCAGCTCTTCCAAGTCCAACCAACACAACAACTAAGTTGTTTCAATGACCTCAGTATGCTCTCTTTTTTTCCTGCTGAAGCACAAGACTTTCAGGGCGCAGATATGACTTACTGTCCAAGCTCCGTTACAACTGGCCCAACTCTGAATGAGCTTCTGAACCGACCCATTAAGGCTGATCCAGGTGCCGATAATGGGTGGATGGATTTCGGGATGCAAACAAGTGGGATGACAGTTGGGAGTATGGGGATTGAGACTGCTGGAGAAGTTCATAATAATCCTGGCTATGAGACAAATTATGGCATTCCAAGAACAGCCAGTTGCCCGCCATCAGTAGCAGAGGCAGCAGCAACCAGCCTAAAGGCAGCCCGTGATGCCAAAGGAAGAGAGTCCCTCTTATCAGAGCAGAAACTGAGTGGAGCAGTTGGAAGAGAGAGCTTCAAGAAGAGGAAAGCAGAAAGAAATCCAAGTACACCAAAGGTATTTACTGATCCCTCTGTGGTTATTGAATTTGATTCCACATCTATTGCCAAAATTATTGCTAGCAGAAACATTATCAGCAAAACCTGAATACAAAATTTTGATAGATTAGAATAGAAAATTAACAAATTGTAGGCCACTGACTGATCTATGAAAAAACTACTATAAATGGTATGTGGCAGGTAATGGATGCAGAAGAAGACAACAAATCAAAAAAGAGCAAGGGGTGTGCTGAAGAGGAAGAATCAAAAATCACAGAACAACATAGCAATAAACATAGCAGCAGCAGCAGCAGCCAGGGTGACCAAAAGGAAAGCAATGGAAACAGCAATGACAAGAAAAGCAAAGAAACTTCAGGGTGTACATCTAAGGATTCAAAGGCATCCGAGGTACAAAAGCCTGATTACATTCATGTCAGAGCAAGGCGTGGCCAAGCCACCGATAGCCACAGCTTAGCTGAAAGAGTAAGCGAAACACAAATGCCAACATTACAAAAAAAAAAAAAATTCACAGATATAAACTTCACCAGTAACTCATATTCTGCACTTATGGTTTATGATGTAGGTAAGGAGAGAAAAAATAAGTGAGAGAATGAAATATCTTCAGGATTTAGTTCCAGGGTGTAACAAGATCACAGGAAAAGCTGGAATGCTCGACGAAATAATTAACTATGTCCAATCTCTTCAAAGACAAGTAGAGGTAATCAGAATTTCTAATAAATTTTTTAAAAAAAGCTCCTATATCTTCCAAATTTATCTGACTTTTTCCCTCTTGTTTCTTTGGATCAGTTCCTCTCCATGAAATTGGCAGCAGTAAATCCCAGGCTTGATATTAACATTGATGAATTAATTTCCAAAGAGGTAAAGACATACAGACTAACTAGTCATACGGATAAACCAAAACAAAATGAGAAAAAAGCTGACTATCTGCAACTCTTATCAACAGGTTTTTGCATCATGCTCTGCCAGTCTACCAACGATGGGGGTATCACCGGATTTAACAAATCCTAGCTACCTACAATACAATCCTGTTGAACAAATGGATCCAATTTGCGGATCCACGGTCGTGGGGAACCCAATTGATTTGGGGTTGAGGAGAAGCATTAGTGCTCCTGTGCCAGTTCCGGAGACTTTTCTAGACACATCCTGCTTTAATGTAACGTCCTCTTAAGTCTGGTGTAACCAATTTTTTCTCTATAATACTTTTCTTTCACTAACTTCTATTATATTTGATATTAACAGCAAATCCCAAACTCTTTACAATGGGATGCCGAATTACAAAATATCTACAACATGGAATTTCAACAGGGAAGATCAACATCATTCCCGTTACAGACATTCACAGGTAGATAACACTGAAACATCTTATCCAATTCCCTAATAATTAATAATGATTATACATTCTCATGTGGTGTAGTCTACCTACTTTTAACTATATAAATACACACAATCCAAACTTTCTTATACGTTTTTGGCTTGAAAAAGACAGGTAAAAAAAAAACTCATGAAGGCATACTTTGCCTATGGTGTTATCTATGCATGAAAATAACACATTCATTATCTTGCAGAAAATTATACCAACAGAAATAGGAATCTGGTATTATGCCTTAACATTTGTTAATTTTTCTTTGCGTAGAATCAACAAAAGCAACAAAACGTAACTAAATATAAAAATGGGCAATAAATTATTTCCCAAGTCATGGTAAAACAAAGATTTCATGTATCACTTTGCAGTTCTCCTAATGTTATATTATAATTGTGCAGGCACCATTGAATCAAGCAGTTTAAAAATGGAGATGTAACTCAGTTGGCCCATCTTAGAAGTTAACCCTTCATGGAGATTGAACCAGATTGCTTAACTAGGATTCTTTTCTGATCCTCTTTAGTATATAGGTATATATTTGAATGTAACTATGTATAAAGCCAAAGGCAATGAGATGAAATGCATAATTTTAGCACCTGTTGGCATCTTACTTATGCTGAATTGCAACATTTAGAAGCCAGTGCAATAGTAGGTTCTTCATTAGAGCCAGAAAATAGGCAGAGGGGACCAGATAGCAAATTTATGAGAGAAACTTATTGATGGGAAAAGAGAGAGCAGAAAGGGAATATGAAAGTTGTTTTCAATCATCCACATCTAATCCGTTTAGCGTTCTTTTATAAACTTGTGAAATCTTCAACCAAGGGGACCAAGCAAATTGAAACAAGAAGAATTGTGAATTTATGATAAAAGGGAATTTTAAAGTAATGGTAGGATGAAAGACGCGGCTGATAAAGATGCACAATACATTATAGCATCTTTCGCTTACAGTTGATGAAAATAATGTAACAGCTACTGAAGGAAAGCTGTTTATAAAAACGTCATGGATCAATTTAACATTACATTTAACATCAACAAGTTCCAACAAAACCTTAGAGCCTTTTATGTTACTAAAAATATGAAATTAGAGTCAGATAATTGGACTCAATTTTATACAACTTATATTCATCAACAATTCAAGGAGGTAAAACAACCCAATAAAACAAATATTTGTATGCTTTTTACGTAGAGGTCTTACAAAATATAATATGACCTGGAACAGAAGCTGATAAAGAGCAAGAACAGCTGATTGATCCATAAACTTGTGAAAACCAGACATTTCTAGAGATTATTTAGCTGAAAAACAGACAGTAAACTGATTAATACTGTGCATAATCTGTCACTTCTCTAAACTGTTACTTACTTGCATGTAGAACTGTTTTGGTTTTCAGTGACCTGCTGCTCTCCCTTGTTCCCTCCTACTTTTACTTTTTTGCAAATTTCCGTAGGTCCTCCCCACCAATCTGTACAAAACTACTTTACTTTAACCAACTTTGAGCATTCAAAATAATGAAAATATACATAAACTGAGAAAATTGATGATCTGAAACTGTAGACAGCCCTGGGAGTCTGGGACCAGAAGCATAAGAGATTGTTTTTAACCGCATAAATTACTACTGCAAACAATAATAGAGTAGTTGGTATGGGCAAATTACATGTTGAATTTATGTAACACAATGATACTTGGATCGTACCAAGGTCCTGAATAACCGATAATTTAACACAAATAATGGCTTATACACTGAAAGTAATTATAAACTGGATATGTATCATAGAGAGCGTGCAACTGTGTATGCTTTAGAGTTATATCCTTCAACATGCTGTTGTTAACGCTCTTGCACAGTTTTCCACAGGAAATTAGATTTCTGGTTTCACATTTGTCAATTTGATATCCCCAATCTGTTGAAATTGCAGAATTTGTGCTACTAAAGTACTAAGTGTGACTGAAAAACTGCTACAATGTTTGCTTTAAAACAAACTTAATCTGTAATGATATTATTGAGCTGTAATTTGTGTAGCTGATAAACTACTACTTTTATCAACCACAGTCTGTAATGAGCTTATAAATCTCGAAATTGCAAAAAGTATTTGTATGTAACTAGTAGACTGATACTTTTCCCTTTAAAAAAAAAAACAAATAAAAAAACAAACATGACACCTTGATACATCTAATATAAAGCCACTCTTAAAGCAATTAAAAAGAGGATGTTTCAAAAAAAAAAAAAAAAAAGTAGTAAACAACATACCCAAACAACAAAATTTTGTAGACTTGCCAAAATTGGACCAATACATAATGTACCCAAACTCTATGACTTGAATTGACCAATAACAATAATTAATTTGAATAAGATTGATTTACCATTCTTAAGTATAATATTAGTGTAGTCTTCGTATGTTATAAACAAGCTTTCTTTATTATAGAAATTCTGAAGTCCAAATACTTCAAAAACAGTGATTACTAGAAAATATGACAAATCAAGAACCTATCGCTGAAACTCAAGACAGATGTTAGCTTTCTTAATAAGCAACAAACAGGATCCAGCCATCCAGGGAGGCAGAAAAATGGTAAAATGAGAGCCATGCTGTTCTTCAAAGGCAGTTATCTGAATATTTTTAGGAATTAGACCAATGGCCTTAAAAGACCTACATACATTCTATACATGGAAAATTTTTATTCCTCTTTGGATAGATATTAGAGATTGAGCTATAAAGCCAGAGTACCAGACCTCTAGATATCATTCAAGCAACAAAGGTCTTGACCGATTTTTCTCGATTTATAAATGTAGAAAGCCATGGAACAGATCAACTCAGGTATAGACATAGAGTAAATGGCTAAAGCAACAGCAAAAGGCCCACATACAAGAACTCATCCTAGAGGAAAATATCTTCTTCCAGAGATAATAGCTTAACAGCCTCAGCTTCCCTCCCTTACAAGGCATATGTAACAGTACATAAGTGGTCCTCTAAACTTGTCAAGCTAATCAAACTCTATTCTCCAGGTTTCAGCGAAAAATTCGGAATGACATATCCATTTATTACAGTCTCCGACCACCATTTATCCTATCAACAGGGAATACAAAAGGATGACCTTGTTCTGTCTAATTCATGGGCCTAGAAACAGATTTTCTTCCCTATGTAATTGTACCAGCAGAAAGAAAGAGTAACAACTGAAATACAACACAAGATCCAAAAACTTTTTAATTCTTTCAGAGTATCTTAATAAAATGGAAACATTGATAGGTTCCTCCTGGAGACATTCTAAAATTTGCACCTCCCAACCCTTACAGGTTACAACAAATCAAAGTAGCACGAGTAATCAAAGTAGCACGAGTGCATGACAACCATTTGAGGTATCACTACAAGCATACACACAACTAACCTCGGTATTAAAACGACACAACACTACAACCCTATGTGATACCACCATATTAGTCCAAAGTACCACCGCAAGTCTACAACAACCCTAGAAATATGGCATTGGATTATCTCATACCTCCCGGTGACAAACTTATAGTTTCTAAGAATACATGCACGCGCAATTTAGCCATATTCATAAACTATATTGATCAACCAAACACAAAAGACACGTAGCTACGTAAGAATGTTGGTTTAATCTCAAAACCTAATGTTTCAAAGTTCAATTCTACTGACGATGACACAAAATTCTCAGTACAATACGCGAACACATTCACAGGTACAACACCTCAACTAAAGCCAGAGGAATCTTATGATCTCAAAAGTAATTTTGGAATCATTTTAGAAGGAAAACACCAAAGCAGAACCAAATATAGCTATCTTCTCAAAGTAAAATCCATTAATTAATCTTCATTTCACAAATTCGCAACCATTGTACCAATGCACAAAATTCACAACGCAACGAAAAAAACGCATGCAATTACGAAATTCACAGTTATTAGTGAGTTACAATAAGATATATTAACATAATTATTGTATTTTCATGTCAAAATTGAAGAATTCGAGCTCCATTGAAGATCAATCTCTTTGAATAAAACAATCAAATTATGAATTTTCTGTATGAATTTCATCAAACACCTAATCTGCATTCTTCCTTACTCTGAATTTAAAGTAAATTTCTCAAATGTATATGATCCAGAGCAAATTTTGAAGCGATTATAAACAACTCACTATATTAGCGCAAGATCAAACGAAAAGAAAATTCGAAAGCGAAAATTGAAGCTAGGGTTAGAAGAAATCGCACCTATGATTGTCGAATTTGTGATCAATTACAGCTTGAAGACCTTCAATTCTGATGATGATCGAATGTGATAGCGAATTTTGTGATGGGGCGCGAAGGAGGAGAGAGAAAAGATAAACGGCGGGAAATTTGGAGATGAAATGTAAAGTTTCAAAAGTTGACATAGTTAAACCTTATAACCTGAACTTGAGGTAATAAATTTGGTAAATGGAGGATGAGCTTAGTAGAAAGTTAGAGACATTATGGTTTATGAATTATGAGTCCTGAGTCCTGACCTAGTCCATGGAATGTTAGACCTAGTCCATGGAATGTTAGGCATGTAGAAATGCATAATAAGGGGTATTCATGTAATTATACACATGTACAAATGAATGCATACTTTGGTATCATTTGATGATCAAATGGTACCACTTAATATACAGTGATACTCCCTCCGTCCCTAAATTACATTCCTCCTTTTCTATTTTTGATAAAAAAAAAATTTAGTAAATCAACTCTCTTTTTCTGTTTTATATTTAATGTTTTCTCACTCATCCTTACCTAATCTCACTCATAATCCTTGTGTCAAATTACAAAGAATATGATTGGTTAAAAATTTTCAATTAGGAACATGTGATTGGTCCTTTTTTTTTTTGCAAAGGATTGATGACATGTCATGAGTAATAACTAATATATCTTTGTACTTACCATTGCATTATCTAATTATTGTTATTTGTCTTATTCTTTCATCCTTAATTCACGTGTAAATTTTCAAAGAGGAATGTAATTTAGGGACGGAGGGAGTACTATATATGCACACAATGGTATTATTTATGCATTCAGTTGTACTAAATTTATGCATAAATAGTACCACTGAGGATTCAATTGTACTGTATAAACTTTTAGTGGAACAATCAGCATCTGGTCCCCCATCACGTGATACAATCCGACCAAAAAATAGGTGAGGTCTACCTATGGACCTCTCTCTTCCTATCTCTCTCCTCTTTTCTCTCTCTACCACGTGTTTTTTAAAATATTTTAATCAATGTTATGTATTTACAAATGCATAACATTCCTCCATTTCCACTTCCTCGATACACATACAATTATTGTATGTTGTCCCTACATACAACACCACTTGAAATTTAACACATCGTAAAAAAAAAGGGGGAGAAAATTAGGAGTAAATTATAAACTGAATTCTAATAGAACATGGGCCCATTATTGTAGCCAATAAATACATGATAAAGTAAGGTTGTATGTAGAGACCACATACAACAATTGTACGTGTAGCCTTTACCCTAGTTCCATAATAATTGGGCTTATTTCAAGTTTAGTACTCGTGTTTGATATAAGTGTCATACTTTCGTTTTACAATATATATTATTGTGATTTAATATTCTATTTGCTAGAACTTAATATATATATATATATATATATATATATATTGAAATTAGAGATTTAGATTCAACAAAAGTTGACCCGATGCAAAACCTAATTCACGTTTGTTTGATTACATCATGAGTTAAATATTCTATGGTAATTTCTCATAAATTGATTGAACTTATTTAGTTGTAATTTGTTTAAATGCAATTCATGAAAAACATGAGCTATCAAAGATATTTGGTAAATAATTAAATAAATACTCATGTTATTTGAGAAATACTAGTACAATTTTTCAAGGAAGTTTTATTTTACCCCCATTAACAAATTTCAGGCTAACTAAACAACAAGCAACCAAAACAATACCTAAATTTTCTTTGCTCGTTTCAATTATAAGTGCAACCAAACAAATAGAGTATTCTCTCTTCATGTGCCATAAGTATAAATGTATAATCATTTATCCCAAGCCTTTCTCCTTATTCATGCAAAATGTATTTTCATTCAACCCTTAATGTGATTCGATATGTTTTGTGCTTTTTTTTTTCCAAAACCTGCTTGTTTTGTGACCTTTCACAACCCAAACGAACGCCTACTACGTGAAATAAATGAGATCAAGAGAGTGAAGACATCACCCGTCTCCTTGGCATTGTCCTTGAATATTTTCCGCAAGCTCTGTTCATGCAACTAAATCAAGACTGTGGCATGAAAAACAATGACGAAAACATTTTAATGAAGTACTCATAAGTTTGCAACAAAAGAGATACAATTATACAAATGCTTAGACCAACAAATTTAACTATTGTACAATCATACAAATGCTTAGACCAACAAATTTAACTATTGTACAATTATACAAATGCTTAGACCAACAAATTTAACTACCGTATTATACAATTATACAAATGCTTAGACAGCAAATTCAACAATAGAATCTACACACTACACACATTATAGTAAATACAGACAAGCGATTAGCACAATTGAATGACTTGTGACCTTCACAACTAAACCACTGATAGCTCACCAGCTTCTGCATAATGCAAACCAAATAACTACATCATAAGCCGATTTTATTTAACTAGGTAAAATGGTGACTAACTTGAGAAGGAACGTACCTTTCCCAGGAACAATTATAATTGGTGCAGTCTTACAGTGATGTATGCAATATTCACCAACACTTCCTTGCAGCACACTAGTTAACCCGAAATTAGGAAACCAATTTAAAGACTTACACGTTGTGAAAATTAAGGAGCTTTTAAAATACAACTGAGACGAGAACTAACCTTTGAACCAGCCCTCTGCCTCTAGAACCCATTATCACAGCAGCAGGCCTTAACCTCTCTGCTTCCTTGCAGATGACCTTTCCTGCATCGCCTTCCACTATCCTAGCAACAGATTTCACCTGACCATAAGAAAGTATTTGTAATCTAGCATTAGTTCTCAAAAAGATCCTCCAATTTGGACACAACAAACCACTCGGCAAATAGCATATAGACACCCTATTGGCTTCTTAGCAACCCATGACACACGAGCTTGATTCTATGAAACACACGATCACTCAGTGGTACCCCTCAGTTTTAACAATAAGATTACAATGAATCTATACATTAATTAGTTAGATCTTCCCTCATGCATCTATACATTTGAATCTCACACAATCTTAAGATGCTATGAGCGTTGAACTCACTATGAATCGTGATACTCATAATCATATATGTTCGTGTTGACATCCCTTGGTTCAAACAATAAATTGGTAATTATTCAGTTAATCCCTAATTCTTTACTTATATACAACTACATTGAATTTTGCAAGTTCAACGGAAATTTATTGTTACCTACTATATCGTTTCCAACTAGGATGGAGTATAACTGTATAACACTACTACAGACTGACTAATTCAAAGTGATGATAATATTTGCAATGTTCTGCATCAATTTTCTAAGAACAGATTCCACATTATTGAAATAATGTACTTACAAATTTTGCATTAAAACAAGATGTATATCATCCATTTCGGACTACTGATCCATTTCCAGAATAAAAAGAATTAATCCAAAGGCCAAATATTTTCTAACACAGAACGAAAATTATAATGTACTACAAGCATATCAAAACAATAAAATCAAGTAAATATTTATAATGTCACCCAAGCCAAAATAAATCAAAAAAAAAAAAACACGAAACTCACCATTTCCACTTGGAAAGCCTCGACAGCTAATTTGTCCATCAGAATCTGACTTGCTTGGTAAACATCCTCATTTTTCACATCTAAACCAAAAATTAAATTAAAAATAAAAAATAAAAAATCCACAATTCTTATTTTTTACGGAGTACGATTTAATTTTCACGCCAAAAATGGGCCAAGGCCCAATCAAAGGCGTGCTTACTATTGGGCCCATGATCCACTGCAATTACAACATCACGGCCTCTCCTTCTCTCTCCAGTTTCTCTCTCTAGTTCAGGTTTTGGTAATTGCGACGGTAATTGCACTTCTCTCCAGTTGTATTCTTCTTGATCTTCTTCAATTGTCATCATTTTTCTCTCTCCTTTTGAAATTCTAGAATCAGTCGATTATTACAAAATAAGGAAAATGGTTGGTTTTGATTGGGGATTTAATTAAGATGGAAAAATAAGGTGGTGTGATTAAAGTTTATAGAGGAGCCGCCATTGTTGAATATTTGATTGTTTTCACGAGATAGAAATGATCAAATGGAATACGAGGCCGAGGACTATGCAAATTGCTGATGTGTTGGTTTAATCTCCACGTGTTTTTAATAGGATTCATGCATTGGCCCACGGTTATCGCTAAAACGCTAACTACTTTTTAAGTTTTAACCAGTCAGTTAAAATTTTTAGATGTGGGTAGATTGAACACGGGCCGCCGGGCTGGGTGCCTGGGTAGAACAAGCTCACAGTCACGTATTGTATCAGCTAAACTCGTATTTGAGACCTCGTTTGGTTGGTATAGGAAATTAGTTATTATGGAAAATTCTAATACATGAGAAATTATTTCCTTTACGAAATCCCTAAGAATTAAATAAATATGTTGGTTGTACGTTGTATAGGGTTGGACAATGCCTTAAAAGAATTTGGGTTAATTTTATTATAAGGTTTTAGTTTAGTTCACCTTAACTGTACCTTATTTCAGAAAAAATAAGTTCATATCAAATCATTGTTTTAGATGCACTTTTTTATCGCTAAATATTTTTAATTTCGTAATAAAAAAAATGTTATGAAAATCACATATTAATAAAATACACATTATTACGAATCTAACAAGATCTCACTTAATACATTTTTTCTATATAGATAATCGTATATTTCGAGTCAAAGTTTGGTCAAATCTGACATTCAAATCAGACCATATCAATTCAGATCAACAAAAATAAGGTGAACCAAACAAGCCCTAAATGTTGTATAGTTTTGGACAATGTCTTAAAAACTCCAATAATAATTTTTATACTTTATGTGCTCGTATTGGACTCGACAACTCATCTCATATTTTGAAAATAATGTCTACACAAGTTGACAAGTACACGAACTTAATAATATCCCAGACTCCCAAGCGTTCGTAAATTTATATGGAGTAGTCCCTCCATCTCTAAATTACATTCCTAATTCTCTTGATATGTTAATGAATGCCAATTCATACCATACTAATGGACATTAGCCAAAGTAGGGTTGTATCACTTGTATGTCTTGGCATTTTATGCCAAGTCAAAGATCATTTTTTTGTTTGACCATCAAATAAAAGAGGTATTTCTCTTTGCCACTGTGTTGAGTTTCTAATCAAGCCAATCTATATCTATAAATAAACTAAAGTAACAACCGCTAACGTCATCTTTCCCCAAACCTGTACACGTGTCGACTTATTATGAAAAATTTTCCCACCCAATTAATGACTTATTTTAGAAAAAAAATAATAAAAAAAAAAGAAAAATGGAAAAGAATAATCCCACCTTTGCTCAGTCTTCCAAAAATAATCCCACCTTCTATTATTCCAGAAATAATCCCACCTTTAACATCAATCTTCTTTTAACAAGCCTTGACCGGTTTTATTAGGTTGGCAACTGGTTAGAGAAGGTAACTTGACAGGTGTTGCTATCTAATTGGTTATTTTGATGATTAAAAAAAAAACTTCCATCCTTCCTTTCCTTTTACCCTCATCGGAGATAGCCTCAGCACATGGCAGCCGGCCTGACCAGCCCCACCCTCCCAGCCGAAGCCGACCCATTCCCTTCCCTGCCACCTGACCAACCCGACACCTTCCCCTTCCTTTTCCAATCCCTTTCCTCTTTTTCACTTAAACAATCTCACCCCTTTTCCTTCCCTTTTCTCCATTGAATGTACTCCAAGTTCACCATCAGAGCAGCGTGTGAGCTTTCTCTCCCCCCATTAAAGCAACTTCTAAGGTAACATGGATTGTTTATATTAATAATTAAAGGGTTTATCGTCAATTCAATTGGTGATTTGGGTTAATTTAAACATTGTTAATTGTTGTGTCGGGGCGACGCGATGGTGGTGACGGTAGTGGACTAGCATTGAATTAGTTGAGGGAGGAGATTGCGGGGTGAGATTTTTGGGTGACAACAATGGATTTTGTCGCTATGAAATGCGGGGTGCAAATGTCTCTCTTTCCTCCATTAATTTCCCACTACTTTAACCCTTCTAAGTAGCCATGAACAATTCACAAAGCCTTTCTTCTTCCTCTTATAACTCTTCCATTTTCGTCCCTGACCAGGTTTCTTTGTTTTTTATTTCCTCTTTGTTTCTACTATATATGATTTCCTTTTTATTTTTCTTGATGAATGCATTTTTATGTTTCTTGTTTGCTTTCTTGCGACTAAAATCCAATTTTCAATCTTCTTAAATTAACTGTGGAAATTTGGAGAATGTGTTTTTTTTTTCTTTTGGTTGTTGGACAACGATAGATTTTGTTGCTGGAGGTGAGTTCCAGGTGGGGTAGTGGGCTGGTGAGGATCGATGGTTAGCATTAGTTGAAGGAGGGATGGTGGTTTTGGTGGTGGTGAGGAGGTGGCTATTGGGGAGAGGTAAGGGGGGGGGGGTAGTAATGGGTGCAGGGTGGTCGGAAAGGAGGTGGGCTTATTTTGGTTGGCCATTAGTGTTGGGCGGCAGACTGGCAGTGGCAATGGCAGTGGTGATGGTGGAGAGGACTCGAGGAGACATGTTTCTAAAAAAAAAAAAAAAAAAAAGAAAGAAAATTATTTAACCGGTAGAACAAGTAACAAGTCAAAGGGCTTGTTAAAAGAAGATTGATGATGGGATTATTTCTGGAATAATTGAAAGTAGGATTATTTTTAGAAGACCAAGCAAAGGTGGGATTATTGTTTTCCATTTTTCCTAAAAAAAATTATCATTTAAAGTTATAGCAATAAACTATTATTTCCAAAAGTAATGGGATTTGATTTAGTATAGTTGTTTTTGTATTTATCCCAAATTACTATACATTTTACATAAATCAATAATTTAAATTACAGGTAATAAAATAAATTGACTAATATTTTCCTAAAAAGTAGGGATATTAACCGATAATTGTTTTTCTACTTCGAATTCATATTAATGATTGGTTTGCTTTTAAACAATGATTAATCATATTGTTGGGGTTGCTTCTTAATACAAGAATTTTGATTTTTTTTTTCTTTCTTTTGAAATCAGAATATTTTCTTAATATAAAAATTTTGTTTGTGCGTGTATTTTTTTTTTAAAAAAAAATCATCCCCCTTAATATTTTGACATATTATTGAACATGTTGTTAAATTGAACTTTGTAGTATTTCTCTATATTTGATAATCTAGGTGTTGTTTCATTTAATTCTTAGGGCCTGTTCATATTTACTGAACTGAACTGATTGGAACTGAACTGAACTAAGCTGAAATGAATATTTTATGAGAGAGGGAAATTAAGAGCTGAACTGATTGGAACTGAACTGAACTGAAAATAAGTAAATATGAACAGACCCTACTACAAGTCAATTATATTGAAAGTGTTGATTGTATTATTGGTAATATATCACTTAGCAACATAAGCTTATGATTTTATCTATGGCAAAAATGTGAAAATGTTAAAGTAAAATTAACATTAATTATCCGATTGATGTGTGATTTTAAATAATATATTAATTAGTTATCTAACGTCGCCTCACTCGAGAAGATTATTTGTAGAGTGTATGTGAGTTCAACACCGCGGAGGGGCTAATCTAGTGGTACAGTATTTTAAAATACCACATACTTTATATTTATGGCTCACAGTAAAATTCCATATTTGTCCTTGTCCAAAAATAAATTCATACTACATTATTCATTTTTGCAGCTCCATATCAATATTAGACATGATTGATTTCTACATTCTCCTCGCCATTTTAATCAAGCCTAAAATAGAAAATTGAAAACGCCATCAATTTCAAATATTAGAATTTTTGTACAATTATGATAGCACCAACTGACTCATTTTCTTATAAAAATAATTACTGGTACAAATTTTGATATATTCAAGGAAAAATGTAGTGAAAACACTAAATCAAAATTAAATTACAAGAAAAAACACTACGCCTTTTATAGTTTAGATTTTGCATTTGAAGTTATTAAAACCTCAATCATAATAAACGAATAATAAAAAACATACAGATTAGGCTTTAGGCTTTTAAAAACAAAAATATTGCAAGAATTTATTTGATTGCAAAAAATAATTAAGGCTAAAGTAGAAGGTGCTCAGAGGTAATTAGAATGGAATTGAAAAATTATCCGCAGCTTAATTACTCGGATTAACGAGATTTAATTCAATCATCATCGCACCTTCAACCCTAATTAAATTGAAACTACAAAGAACTAATCGTTAATTGGGTTAGAAAATGAAAAAAATAAATAAATAAAATTAAAAAAATAAAAAAAATTGCTCCTTGTATGAACAAACGAAAAGCAGAAAAGCGAAGCGGCGATAGAGGCTAAAATGTGAAGTAGGGTTTATATTGGAGGTTTTGGATGGAGGCTTTTATAGAGTGGGTGAATTCATTTGGTTTCCGAAACCTGAATTTGAAGGGAAAAAAACGAACTCATATGTTGGGTTCTATTTGGCCTTTGATTGTTGGGCCTACATATGAGGAGGAATCAGGCCTTCTTTTTTCAGTTCAATTCTTATAGGAGTACGTACGAAGTAATTCTTGTGTTTTTTTGTTTTTTCGAAAAATATTTGTATAAAATCGTCTTATTATAACTTTATAAGAGTCCTATTTCATATGGACAAAAGTTGTAGTTTATCTTCTATGTTACGAAGTATAATGTGTGCACAAATGTGTCATGCGTACACAAATGTGTCGAAGCTCACAAATATGATGTGTAGATACCAGTGGCGGACCTAGAAATTTGATAATGGGGGACAATTTCGATAATTCAACTAACATCAACTAATTTTTTAAAAAAAAACGGGTACACAATACAAGTAATTTGGGTTTGGTTGGGAAATAGGAATAAAGGAGTAGTGGTATGGTTGAAATAAAACACCCCCCAAAAAGGGATTGATGTTACAAGGGGGATTCGAATGCCATATTATCTTGTGATATTAATTTCTTGGCAAACATTTGCCGAAAATGCTCGCTGCACTCCGTGACTCGTGGTCGTGTGGGTGGTGGTTCGTGCCTCGTGGTTGGGAAATAGGAATAAGAGAGTAGTCGAGTGGTTTGGTTAAAATAAAGGAAT